AATGAGTTGAATAGCTCGTGCTGAAGGTGAATTTGGTCATATATCGAGCCTGTTTCTGAAAATCACTTGGCATTCTTAAAGCCTTTAGCACAGACCCAAAGGGTATCATTTAGCAAGCCACTACAAGAGTTACAGCTTTCAAAGACATAATTTAAAGAAAGGTTAGTTTGGGCACTGGAAGAATTACGCTCCTTAGAGTTCAGACTCTGACAAGAAGCAGCTAAGCTACTGAAAGATGAGAGTCTTGTGGGCATTTATCTGATGATTATAAAAACAGACAGCTAGATTAACTGCAATCATCATTTGAAAACTTTCTTTAAGAAAGCAAGGCCTTCTGGAAACACTGCCTTTGGTTTCTCTACCTACAAATTGTCAGTACTGAAAAGGAAACTTTAAAAATAAATAAATAAATAAAATAGGCAGTTTCATTTAACAGTTGTGTTTCATAGGCCAGGCTGCTTTCAAACAAGTTGAGAAGCCTTTTTAAGGATGAAAGCTGTTGTTCTCTTATACTTTAAGACTGAAGGAACGAGCTGCCTCCCCAGAGCAGTGAGAGGGCTATGAGCTTCAGACATCCACCTTCTTATAACTTAAGAGAGCCCTGTTCCAGCTTCAGCATCACTGGAGGCACAAGGGAAGAGGCGGGGAGGGCGCTGGCTTGGCCCCTGCTGTGGAATGCCAGATCTATCTGTCCAAAGCAGAGCCTGCCCCTCCCAAGGTCAGATGCTGGTACACTCTCTTCTGCTGCCCTCCTTAACTCTCCTCTGGCCCCTTGTTCCTAACCTGGATCATCAGGAATATCCAGGCCAGCGAGTCATGGAGCTCACTGAGAAAACGGTTCTTGCACAGTCTGGTTTTTGGCAGTTGTGACAAATGGCAAAGTCATTACATTCCTAATTTCTGTCAGTGCTTGCTAGGCTCAAGCTCAGGAAAATGTGATCAATACTTCTCCTGACGTCTTTATTGATCAGATATGACAACTGCTGGCCTGAGAAGAAAGGAAAGGTAGGCTCTTGCAAAATTTCTTCTCACCATTTCTCACTCAGTACTGATACAACAGATCTACATGGTGAGAAAAGCAAGGATTTGTACAGCAATAATAAACCCAAAAAAGACACATAAAAGGCATTCTGCAAACACTCTTTCTCACTGCCATTATTTCAACACTAGCTTGCCTGCCAATTTTCTGAGATTCTGAAATGTAAACAGATAGAAGAGTTAGTCTGGGTCTCTTTTTCATTAAATGCTTAATCACTTAGTTCATTTCCAAAAACTGGCATGAGTTCACTCTCAACTTACTTCTTTTTTCCTTAACCATTTCTTAGGAGAGTAATCTGAAGTCCCTAAGGGTGTTCAAGTTGATGTTTTTTCCTAAGATCAGGACAAATAAACAGCCCACAAAATAGATTTCAGCAGCTTCAAAATTTTGAATTTAGTACTTTATTGTTTGTTTTTTATTTTAAGACATAATCTAGTAGCTGCTATGTAGCCCAGGCTGGTCTTGAACTCATGGTGACCCTCCCCCTCCTGCCTCAGCCTCTGAGTTCTGGGCATAGAGAAATATGCCACGATGCCTGGCCATCTTTTCTTATTTCAAAATAACCGGCACTAAAGTACAACTTGCTTGGTATATTTTCTAATTATTTACAATGAATCACTTTACCCCACTCCACTTATAGGCTATTTCAATACATTAATGTTTTCTACTTCATACTTGTTCCATTATGGTATGAATTTGAATATACAATCAACATACAAGTCATTTATTTGCCTTTAAGAAAACTTGGTAATATCCAAAGATAGACCCCAAAGTTACCTATAGACATCAAATTACAGCATGTGGAAAGTGTGCCTGTCTTTCTTCAAGGTCTGTCTCTTTACTGTTTGGGGCAACAATGAGTTTTACTTGAAAGTCACATTTTAAATTATTTACAGTGTATTTTGTTAAATGAACCAAATTAAATTTCACATTTGCCCACTGTATTTCTCATCTGTAGCCATTCGTAAGCATCTTTTAATGTTTTGTTTGTTTGGTTGGTTTTTTTGTTTTTATTTGTTTGGTGTGGCTTTTGTTTTGTTTTTTGGAGACAGAATCTCCCTATATAGCCCAGGTGAGCCTCAAACTTGCTAGATCCTCCTATATCAGCCTCCTGAGTTTTGGGATTACAGGTGTATACCGCCACACCCAGCTTACAAAGTGCTTTTAACCATTTTTAATAACTCAGATTATTTTATGTACCATAAAATTTGTTACCTGTTTCACTAACCTGGCTGAAATGTTCATTTAAAAATATTTAGATAGTGTGGTTATTTGGGCAATCATAATATTTAATAGAATGACTTCAAGTAGAAAACTAAAAAGAGAAAAACAAACGGTTTTTATTTCTTAACTCTTCCACAGTAATTAAGATATATTGACACAAATTTCAAATAAAAGTCTAGGCTTTATTAAACAGACGCATCTAAAATTGTGGACTCTTTCTAGAATCAACAGAGAAAATGCGGGAAATGCAAATGGAAAAAATGTGGCTGCTGCATGGATGATAATTTCTTGCTCATATGTCAGTCTGTCCCTATTTCCTTACAGGCAGAGACCTCTCCACTTCTAAGGCATCTTCGAGAGCTATTTCTCACCATGAAAAAAAAAAAAACTGAAAAATACTTTAAAAGGAAAAAAAGTGAAGGGCACATTCTTGAGCACTTCTAATCACTGTAATTCTGTCCCAGGGGAGTCTGTCATTCCAAGCACACTTCCAACCTGCTGCTCTCCTCCCTATGGCTCTGGAAAAATTTTTTTCTTAACCTGACAAACAAAAAGATCAGTCAGTAAATTCATTTTAGCAAAACTCTGGGAAGAACAACTGGAGAGAGGACTAACTGGTATCTGTTTGCCCACTCTAAGGAAAACATTTTTATTTTATTTTACTTTAGTTAAGTTTATTGGTACATCTTAGGTATACATACTGCTCATATCCATCATATGGAAATCCACAGTTATACCACCCTGAACACTCCTGATCTTGATTGATCTCAGAAGCTAAGTAGGGCCAGGCCTGGTTAGTACTTGGAAGGAAAAACATTTTTAAAAGCTCAACCAAATGCTAAGGGAAGGGGAAAGTATTCCTCCAGGCAAACAAATGTCTATTGAAACAAATTTGGGGAGCAGATTTCCTGGAAAACAAGAGGAACCAGTGAAACTTGCAAGGTCTCCAGCACCACCCTATCTAGAGATTTCCTGAGAAAGAATTTCAGAATGGAGGGAGGATAAAAACTTTCCCACCCCTGTGACCCTGCCATGTATAACTGTGTCCCACCACTAGGGGGCTGGTGCAAAGCTTGCAGGCAGGGGGCTTGCTTTCTTTTTTCTCTCCAGGACTATCCTGTCCAGCCCAGAGGAAAGCTCAATGCCCCCACTTTAATCTAGTTCACTAAAGATGTCAGAGTATAAGAAAGCAAGCAAGCAAGCAAGCTAGCTAGCTCGCTAGCTAGCTCGCTCGCTAACTTTAATCTGAAATCACCAAGTAACAGTCTCCCCTAGAAATCTGTTCATACCAAAGCTGAGTGAACAGGAATTGCGGAGATGGACTTGCATATTTTAAACTCTGCTCAGTATTTTCAAAGCACTGCTTCCTTCAGGGACTTCAAAATAAATCTTCCAGGTGGCTACATCAGAGCTGTTTTAGAAGGACGAGCAACCATAGAAGTGTGACCTGAACACCCGGGTGAGTTGCTGAAACCCAGCCCAGGGTGGGTTGTGTGCATCACCTAGCCACACGGCCTGTTCCGAGCCACAAGGTGATGGAATGGGCTGGATAAACATGAATCGTTTTATTGCTGGCCAGAAATCCTTCCTTCATTCATCAAAGTGGGTGAATGAAAATATTAAGAAGTAGGTATGGCATTTTCATGGGTTGCTTACTAAGGATCCTTCTAAAGTCAAGACCTTACTTAGTTTGCCTTCTACCTTGGGTATCAAATAAAACCTCCTCCCGGGAAAGGAAAAAACCACTTCCCTTTTTATAAAAAAGCTGCACACCAGAACCCAAATCTTGGCAAACGAGAAGTTACATAAATTCCAGGTATTCCTAAATATGCATGTTTATACACCCACAACACAATCCTTTCAGAAAGCAGTTAAGTTTCAGGGCCACTTTTTAAAAATTTTTTCGTCTCCAGAAAGAGTCAAAATACATACTTATAGGTATGACTTAAGATCTTACCCATTCTATTTAGAGGATACTTCCTGCTAGCTAAACGCAGGAAATCTATCATTTGCATCAGAAATGCATAAAGCACCAGCACACTTACCTTAACTGAAACAAAACTAAACAATTCCGGTATCTACCTCCACCTACCACCTCACCCACAAAAAAAATAATTATGATATCCGAAATCCTGAATTACTTTCTAGGTGACTTGTACAGCCATCGTTTCATTAGACTACGACCTTGCTAATTCCTTAACATTTTACTTTGCCTTTAAAAGGCTTCCTTCCACCCGACGGGATTTCCCTAAAACACACTCCCAGCGGATGGTTTCCAGCAATAGTCTCTACCAACTCAGCCTGCGCAGGCAGACTTGGCCTCTGCTAATCCCAGCACCCCCTCCCACCATCCACACACCATTCGCACTCCCAGAACCAACCATCCCGGGCCGACTCGGAAAGCTATCTCATTTGCACGTTTGCCCGTCTCTGCCTGAAAGAATGCTCTTCCAACTGACCTTTCAGCAGCTGCCGAGATGGCACGATCTGCAGGGTCAGAGCTGGAAACCAGGGGATATTTTAGCATCTTAATCCCTGCAGCCGGCTCTGCCCAAGTCTACACTCTCTGAGACCCAGGGCAGGAGCTCCGCAGCGTCTCCGAGCAGCTCCCCGAGCCGCCCGGACGCGACCGGCTCGCTGCGGGCATCCCGCACACGCGCGGCCCCAGCCCACGCGCCGCAGACTCCGCACCCCGGCCCGGCGACTGCGCCAGGCACGCACCGGCCCCACCGCTTACCTTCCCGGGCTTTCAGCAAGACCGTGTTGGCCACGATGTTTTCCAGCTCCATTGACAGTCCGCGGTCAGCGAGGGAGCCGCCGGCCGGGCTGTCAGCGTCTGGGTGCTGCCGGTGCTCGGGCCGCCGCCGCCGCTGCTGCCGGAGCCGGGAGCCAGCAGCCCGCCTCGCCTACCGCATTATTCCTGCTCCGAGCCCTCGAGTTTCCCCCTCTGCACAGAGGAGCCGCCGCCGCCGCTTCTTCCTCCCTCCGTGTCCCCCCTCCCCCCTCCCTCAACACTTTCCCCCCCACCCCCCACCCTCCGCGTGTCTCTGTCACTCCATTCTCCTCCCCTCCGGCTCCCTCGGATGCTTTAACGCCTCGGATGCTTCAACCTCCCCTCCGTCCCTCCCGGGGGTGTGGTACTCGCAGGCTCGGGCCGCCGCACTGCGCAAGCGCAGGTCCGGACGCGCCTCCCGCCTCGGCGCAAGTGGCGCGGGGCCTGCTGGGAGTCGTAGTCCTCTTCGCGCTAGGGCGGGGCGAACACAGCAGTCTCGCAGTCTGGCGGGCCCTTCGCTGAGAGAGCCGGAGACACGCCCTGCACGGCGCCGAGAGCGGAGGTGGCCGCCGCCTGGCCGGCGGGCGAGTCAAAAGCACCCCAGCCCTGCGGGAGCCTCCGGTCCCGGAGTGGGGGTCCGCTCTCCCCCTTCCCGCCGTGCCCACAGCCGGGAACACGGAGTCCTCAGGCCACGCCGGCAGTAGGCGAAGCGCCTCAGCCGGGCGGGAGCCGTGGGGTCCCGGAGCACTCGGGTGGAAGAACCCTCAGTCCGCTGCCCACCTGGGGCCAAGCGGGCCCACGAGTGAGCCGCTGGGCGCCGGAGCCGGCATTCGGCCGCCCGCCTGGCCGCTGCCTGCTGTCTCGCACGCACACGTGCCAAGTCGCTCACAGAGCTGCACTTTGTTTGCTCGGAAGGCGGGAAGGGCTCCGCGAGTCGGCGGCTACCCGGCGCCTGCCTGCCTTGGTGTGGGCGCAGCCCGAGCGCCCCCAACCGGCTGAGAATCTTACTCGGATCGCGCCGCTGCTGGGATCTGAGCGTGGGAAGCGCCGCGCCTAGCTAGTAAACCGTCTTGTAGCTCGCCGGTCCCGCAAGCCACAATCTTCATTACACGCTGGACTCGCACAGATTGAGTTATGAAAACGCAGGAGGAATAGCTTGAGTCTGCAGTGTGGATTGTTAATGAGGAACAGCCAGGCCAGCGCGACTCGGCATGGAAATGTGTTCAAATTCTGAACTTATCTAGGGGCCTTTAGAGTCTTCCACTGTTAAGCTCAGAACATCAGACATCAGATCAAGGTCCAGGCCGGCTCTCCTGCTTTCTCCAAAAACCCTCGTCCTAAGGAATGGGTGCTCTCCTGTCAACCTGGGGTCTGCACTCCTGTTCCTTGGGCCAGGGGCAGGGCCGCTTGGCCCCAGGGAACAATGAGGTCTTTGCCCTCTCTGCTCCTGCGTCCTGTAAGGCCCCGTCCTAGTCCTGTAGGCCGGATATCCGTTCTGAAGCCAACTCTGGGCTTTCTCTGTCCAAAAGGAGGAAACTTTTGGTCCCTAGGGCTATCAGGAAGTGGCAGAGAGGTGCTGAGAGAAACAGAATAGTTATTATTCATTGGAGAATATAAAAAAATTAAACTTTTGAGGCCTTCGAAGCTGGATTCTAACAACCCAGGACTGTCTTCTTTCCTGGTGGATACCTCCAACACCACCGGTTCCTGTTGTCTGGATTTGGGTCAGTGGAACCCTGTTTGCAAAGTTGCAAAGAGCAGGGAGCTGAGCAGTTAGATTATTAGACACCTTTCATTCTCAGAAGCCACCCAGGCTTAGTCTTTACCTCATATCACATGCCCAGAACCATTCACAATAAGAGGCTCTTAAAGCTGGCAGCATCTCAGAGCCCACCAGCCAATGTTTATTTGATTGACATTAAAAAAGTAAAGATTTGAATATTTTTAAGTGGCTTGTGCTCCATAGCAACCTGGTCAGATTTCCTGTGCTTACGAATCCTAGGGCCCTTAGAACAAAGCAGATTCTGGTTAAAATTCAGACTTATGTCTGTTATTTCCAATAACAAGGGCTCTGCCAATCCTTCTGGTCAGTAGTCTATACTAAATGGCAAAGCTCTGGAGTTAACCATAATCATCACTGCTCTTTTTGATCGCAGTGGCTCACGCCTGTAATCCCAGCACTTGGGAGGCAAAGGTGGGAGGAATGTTGCGAGTTCGAGACCAGCCTGGGCTGCAAAGTGAGCTCAAGACAGCCTGAACTGCATAGAGACCCTGTCTCAAAACACACACACACACACACACACACACACACACACAAGTCACCAGTGATTTTACCATCTGGCCTTATGGACATTTGAATTTGCAACCTTGGAAACCTCTGCCAGTCTCCCTTATTTTATTGATATAAAACAGACCTAACGAAAAGTGAATCCTGCTGGTCATTCAGCAAATAGATGGTAGCCTATCCAGTTGTCTATTCACTACAGGTAATGCATCCTGGCTACAAAATAAATGATTGTATGTCAACTATCTGACTATGAGGAAACAAGGGCATTCCGGTGCAAGAATGAAACAACAATGGCTAACATTTACTTAACCCTGACACAGGGCCAGGCCGTGTGCTATTTGTTTTGCATTGATTATCTCATTGAACACAGCATCCGAATGAGATAGGGAACATAGCTCTATTTTACAGATAGAGAAGTTTTATTTTCTTAAGGTCACACATAATAATAATAAAATAATAAAAGACCTGGGATTTGAACCCAGCTGCCGACGCAGAATCTGTGCACTTAATTTCTCTGGAGCTCAGGCTGCCTCTCACATCTTGGTTGTGTCTGTTGTATTTGGCTGCCCAAATGAACTTATAAGGAGGTGATGAGACACTTCACCAAATGAGTAAGACAAGAGGGTTTTTGTTCCAGTCCATAATTCCACCATTATACATACAATTAACCACATTAACAACTCAGTCCTCATGAACAGTGTGCTTGCTTCAAAGGTAAAATAGTCTGTTAAGTATCAATAACTAAATAGGGAATCATTTACAGTCAGCTGAGCGCAAGAACAAATGGAGGTATAGGTGAGAATGAAAGAAATAACACTATGCCGGAGACAAGCACTGACTTCTGATTGCACCAGGATCAACTGAACCACAAATGCAAAACACGCAGGGGATCACATTCTTCTATGAGCACCTGAGCATCTCCCATGGATATAGATGCAGGATGGGATTCCTTGTAAATAGAAATTTGTTATTCTGGAAAAAACACATCCTATCTTCCTAAAATATGGATTCCTTTCACCTGAATAATAATGTTGGCTGTGCTGGATGGAGGTGGAGTTTTCACATTTGCTTGCCTGTCAGTTTGCAGATGCTCAGGAAGCAGTTGGGAAGAGGCCTTCCTTTCTCTTACTCTTCTTCAGTTTATGAAACAATTTCCCAGAGAGCTCACCTCTATAAATGAAAGTAAAGTAGCAGACCGACTACCCCTTTGATAGAATAAGATCCATTGTGGAGACATACACAAAGGATTTTGCAAACAGAGAGGAAAAACTGACATCAAATTCAGAGGAATTCCAAGATAAGAGGAGCTAAAAGTGAGTTGGAGGCATGAGGCTTTCAGTTAATATTCCCTACACCTCAGAAGTCCCTTTATCAATACGCTCCAGCCAGCATTTACCAATTTGACACTAAAAATGTTGTCATGCAGTTGACCACCTATCATTCTTTTGTTGGCTTAATAGTAGTTTTCTTTAATGTCAGCTCAGTTTAAAATTGTTTTACTCATCCAACAGTATTAGTCCATTTCCTATTGCCAATAACACAGTTTCCTTGACTGGATAAGTTTTAATTAAGAGTTTATGTTGAGCCAGACATGGTGGCTCAGGCCTGTAATCCCAGCACTCGGGAGGCTGAGGCAAGAGGATCGTTGCAAGTTCAAGACCAGCCTGGGCTACAAAGTGAGTTCAAGGCCAGCCTGACCTGCATAGAGACTCTGTCTCAAAAAGACAAAAAAAAAAAAAAAAAAAAAAGTTTATGTTGGCTTACAGTTCTGGATATCCAAAGTTAAGGGGCCATATTTAGAGATGTCTCTTGCTAGCAAAACCCTGAAATGGTGTGTACTGTCACATAATGAAAGACAGGAGACGTGGGACAGGTTTGTCTTCTGGTTCTGAGAGTCAGGTTAAGTTTCTACTCTTAATACTGCACAATGGGGATTCAACTCCAACATAAATTTTGGAAGCAATAAACCATATCATCTTAACCAATGACATCTGTAAGAAGTTATAAAAGTATCACACTCTGGGAGAAAAATGACATCCAAGCAACACGGGGAATCTTTGTAGCCTTTGGTTTCAAAACAAACTGATTGATGTTAATCTGCTGGGAGGCTTCTCACTGGTATTGCTGGTTGTCAGTTGTTACCTATAGAGACATCTAGACACTCAGTTCTACAAGACTTACAGGGTCAGCTGATTTGCATCAGTTTTCCACTGCAAGTTCAAGGAGATTCAGGCTCATGGTCCCAGGTACATGTGATCTCCAAGTTCTTCGCACAGCATGGATTTTCATTTCTCTCTGTATCTGTGAGTCTGTCTGTCTATCTGTCTGACTGTCTCTATCTATTTATCTATCTCATATTCTGGGGCTTTAACCCAGGGGCACTGTACCATTGAGCTACATCCCCAGCCTTTTTTATTTCTTTAAACAGGATCTCACTATTGCCCAGGATGGCCTCAAACTTGTAGTCCTCCTGCCTCTGCCTCCACAGTAGCTGGAATTACAGACCTGAGCTACATGTCTGGCTCTAATATGGTCTTAATGAAAAGCTCCCTTTCCTGATGTCGTGTCTATATAGGAGATCACACTACAAGACTTAGTGCAGCTCTGAGCTATTATAAAGTCTAATAAGACCACTTCCTCAGTCTTGCCACAGGCCCTTTCTCCAGTACCCATCCCATTACTATGCCCAGAACTTTGATTCCTAGCCCAATCCTACAAGATAGGTACTGTCTAAAGACATTGTTGCCTCCATTGTTTACAGAGGAAACTGAGCTACAGAGAATTTGATCTGTTGCCAAAGGTCAAGTGAAAAATGTGTGGCAAGGCTAGTTGTTTGGATGAGTGCCTAACTTCTCTATGTAGACTCAAAATATGGGGTTTTTTTTAAACCTTTTGTGTCTTTTCTCTATAGAACCCAGTAATTGCTTACACATAGTGAGC